CTTCAAGCAAAATCGTACCTTTATTGGCGAAGAATCGACCTCGTGCTTCTCCTCGATTCGCCTACCGCCCGAGCTTCATTCTTCTAAATCGAGCTTTATTGACAAAAACTCGCCAATAAATCACCTCTTCTCGTTTCGGCGCCGCCGCCGCTGTTGTTTACACGGTGTTGGAGCGCGGGGCGCTGAAGTTCCCTGAAAATGAACTAGATTCATTGGAAAACGAGATTCGAGATGACGGAAAGTAGTTCGAAAGCACTTATGGTTGTAATTTAATAGCGCATCAGCCTTTAGACAAAAACAGTCATACAAAATTCTCCAAACTTGTTGATTCCCAGCTTTTTGGCAGCGAGTACAATCAAAGTAAGCGTATATAAGATTTATTAAAATAATTTAAAAAAGAAACCAATAAAACCTACAAAATAAAAGCATTTTTCATCAAAAATTATAAATAAAAGGTCTTTCCCAAGCGCCCCTTGGCGAGCTATTGGCGTGAAAGGCGCGAGGTCGCATTGTATTGAGGAAAGTCTAGTACTGCGCTGCCCCCGGGCTTTATGTGGCCCACGACCGGTTTAAAAAAATCATTAAAAATCGAAAACAACAACTACAACAAAACTTGATGAAAGGTATTTAATAGTGTTTTTAGTATAATAAAACTAGATTTCACTTGAAAATCGATCTAAAGACTTTCAAAAATTTTCAAAAAGTCAAAATCGTGGCCAAGGAACGGCAATTTTTGTTTTACAAAACGATTTTTTGTATTTGTACTAAAATTTGTAACCTTTTCTACGTTTAGGTATGTCAAAAAACGGTTTAGAAACACTTCGCTATTCATCTTTGAAAAATCAGAAACGAATAAACAAAATGTTGCAAAAAAATGCTTATAGGGTAACCAAAGCTTCATAAAGTATTTTATTTAATGTTATAGTCCCAAATTAAGTGTGCACAAATCATTCGTCGTCCTCATCGTCGTCCATCACCTTATTTTCGTAGTGCGAGTGTGGATTGACCGTGTTGATGATCTCTGGAGGCAGTCGGGCGCGGTAGAACTGGAGAAATCATTGAATAAATTATGTTTTTAAAGATGCTACCATTTCTAAATAAAATTTTTATATTAAATCAAGCTCAAACCCACCAAATAAACACACAACGTCAACACGGTCAACCCGGCCAGCACGCCGCCAACAATGATCGGCACCTTATCGGTGTTGTGCTGATCAGCGGGACAGGTTTCAGCTGGAAATTAGATGTCGTAAACAAATGATGGCCGTATGATCGTTTAAAGGCGCTGTGAAGTCAGCAGCCGCAAAAGTTTTATGACTTTTCAGTAAAAAGAGGAAAAGCCGGTCAAAAAACGAGAGCTGTATCCTACCTTATATAATTTTGGAGCGTATCTCTGTGTGTGTGTGTGGATGTCACTTTCGAGGCCCGATTTGAGGGCCTTCCCGTGTCCCAAATGCGCTGATTTTTTGTCACTTGGGGGAATCGACCCTCCTCTTTCCGATGGCGTTTTCAGAATTTCGATAAAACACGAGTTTACAAAGTTAAAGCCGGTTTTATTCATTTTTGGGGTAATTTGCATAATATGAAAAAATACAAATTTCCTCATTCTTGCAATTTGCCCGCGCGTGTGTGGTCGGTGGGGGGAAGGGGTCCGAAGGACCCGAGCTATCGGAAAGTCAAATTTCTCATGCAAAGGCCCAATTCCAGCGCCCAAGGCCCGCGAAGCGGGTTTTGGGCGCTGGTAGCTTCATAAAAAGCGAACGTGAGACATAGAGAAGAGAGAGAGAGAGAGAGAGAGAGAGCGGCGTGAGGGAGTGGGAGAAGGACCGAGGGATCTAGAGACTGATTGAGAGTAGGAGACTGAGAGGAACTAGGGACCGAGAACGAGCCTGAGAGACACTTAGAGATAACTAGGGTGACAGAGACAGTGGAGAGAGACAGGAACAGGGAGGGAGAGAGAGAGAGAGAGAGAGAGAGAGAGAGAGGGCGGGAGAGCGCGCGAGAGAGGAAGACCCTCAAAACCAAAACCGACGTTAACCCACTTTCTCCAAACGTTGTATCCGCCCCAGATTTGAAGGCTTGTACCTTGAGAAGGCTGAACTGGATGCTAAAATGTTTGATGTTTAAAGGTAGTACTGTCTTTCCCGATTTAAAAACTTCTTTAGATTTTAAGTAGCAACACCAGAAAACCCACTAGGCCAACGGCCCATATTTCGGGTCGCTGTTGATGGCGAATTTCTGTTTGCTGGGGCAATTTTAGAGAATATCCGTTTGAGGCGTGGTGATGGAATCTGCCAGATCTGGAGGCTCTATTCGGGTCGATGTGCTGATAGTAGGTGTCGACGGGGTCTGAAAGATGACAACAAGCTCTTTTAAAAGATATGTTTGTTTAGGGTGGTTTTTTAAAGTGGGTTGCAGGGTAAGCAGCACTATAATTTTTTAGCTTTCCTGGTATGGAATTTGGTACGCAAACGTTGGTTTTACTTGACGGCATTCTCCCTTTAAAGGTAGTGGGATTTTGGCCGTCGGGATGATGAATGTTGGTATTCTGGCTGTCAAGATTTTAGTTGTCGGGATTCTCAGCGTTTTCCGCTTCAAGAAATAACCACTTTGTTCCCATCAATCTTGAAATGTGCCGGGTCTGTCGTGCACTTGCAGTGATGTTGACCTGAAAAATTAAAGCTCTCCAGGTTTTCAAGTGGCTCGGAAGAAAACCAAATCCGACCCTCAACAACGATTAGGTGTCGACAGTTACGGGTGAAGCGAAATCACCGCGGTTGCAAACGCATTTTGACCTTTGCCAACCGCGCTGAAAGCGTCACAAAAGCGATCCCGTGTTGTGTTCGGTAACCTCGACGTAGCTGTCGATGCCCAGTCGAAGGGATATATTGTTTCGGTATTTCCCAGGGCCTGTAAATCGTAAATCTGTAGCGGTTTTGGGTCCCCAAGAATCAGAAACTACGATGGGTTTCACCTCCATCCCGAGACCGAAAACGGTGGAAATCGATTGGACGTGAAAACCATCGTCAAAAATACCTTGACAACCCCTTGGGACCACCAAAAACCCACCTGCAGCAACATCCACTGATTGTCGCTGAGTTTCAGGCTCCTCCACCCTGCGTGCTGGAAAAGGTGGCCGACCAGCCGTTCCAGTCTTGCGCGTCGGCGCATCAGCGGCCTCCTCTCTTCGATCACTGGTCAAATGAGCCTTCGAGTCAAAACCAGCTTTAACACTTGGCCCTTGATATAGTTGCCATTGGGGTAGAGCATCGCGTCACAATCCCCGTCTGTGGTCGCGGCAGCCGGAACTTTGTACCTGGGACGTCGACCTGAAAAAAGAAATTGATTTTGTACGTAAAATATGCCAAAACTTCGCGACCCTCCAAAAAACATCAGTTTTGGCGTCGTTTGACGCGTCGTGTATCTGGTCAGACCTATGTGGCGCAAAAGTTGCGCTAAAACCTTTACGGCAGCTTTGTGTAATCTGCATTGCGCGTACTTGTCTCAGGCCTGGTCCACGGAGGGTAGATTTTGCGTTTCTGGGATCGTTCGTTCCTAATAAACATATTTACAGAATCAAAATACTGCCCGCCACCCCCAAATCCATGGCGATCTTTCGCCAGCTGTATGTTCCGCATAATTAATCCCAGCAAACAAATAAAAATTGAAGAGGAAGTCCTGTGACGGTTTACTTTACCCCCCCCCAGCCGGAAGTTTTTTGGCTATAACTTTTTAATTCCACATTATTGTAGGCTCAAGTTAAAAACTCTGAGTATATTTTTCGACGCTCTATCGAATGGCGTTGCAAAAATCCCGACAAAATAAGCGAAAATATCGAAAACTTTGAGACCCTTCGGCTGTGGGGGGTAAAGTAAAATCATACCAAAATTTTGTAAAAGCAAGGAAAAACCGTCGAAAAATAACCAAAAATCTTGGTACTGCCTGTTTTCGTTCAAAAAAAAAGAATTTTTAAGCTATTAGAGTTAGATTTGGCCACCTAACGCGACTCCAAGCGCCACCTACCTGTTCCTGACCGGTTCCGGAATAATACGAAAGCGCTTAAGGTCGATCTGGTGCCTACATCATAATACAGGTCGTCCCGTTTTTCGTCAGCGTCCACTTCCACCTCGCGCCGCGGAAAGTCGCACTGCCTGCTGGCGTGACGCCATTTAGGAGCGTGGAAAATACTGGAAAACCTCGTTTTAAAGGGACGTGCAAGGCAAGGCTGCACTTTTTGTTATGCGTAGACTCTCGGGCTCTACCTCTTTGACTTAGAGGTGGACCCAAACTCAGGCGTAGGCTGTAAGCTCCGGCTCGGCTTTCCCTAGCTTTAAGCTTGTTAGGAGTTAGCTTAGGCTTCAGGCTTAGGCTTAGGGCTTCTGGTGGTGGTGCTCGGAGTGAATAGAAAACTGACCCAACGCTGCCCAAAACATAGTCTTTATCAATTAGGGGGTCCGCGAAAGTCCCGGGAGGTCCAAGCTGGGCGGCGGGGAAATCAATTCGGTCGCTCGGGAATCGACTTTCCAGCCGCGGCTCATCAGGTGGCGCACGTGTATAAATTTGGGAGCCTATAAAAGTTTAATAATGTCGTTTTGACGCCGGATTCCGGAATTCCTACTATTCTTGGGAGTAATGGAGCGACGAACAAATTTTGGGGAATCCGATTTTCGGAAATAAGCAGTCCCGTGGTTGTAGCTACCGCCCAGCAGTAGGAGCCTAACTGTGGCCGCGGTCCATCTTCGGATAAGCTCCGGCTCTAAGCAAAATGGATAAATTATTTTATTGGAATTTTACATTAAAGACATTATTATACTCCAACTTCCCCACCAGTTTTATAAACTAAACCAATCACAAGGTTGTGAAGCTCGCATGGCAATCTGTGCGAAAAAATAAGAAAGTCTTATTTGGCTCGACCCCCTAAACCCAATTGCGAAAAGGATCACCTAAATTACAGAATTCGAATTGCCCGATCATTATTTTGGAAGCCAAAAGATTTGCAGCCAGACGACCCGGCGACCCGGGGGCCTCGCGGCAAAGTTTCATTTTCCGCGTTTCTTGCCGGCAAAAAATATTGTGTATTTCGTTGTTCATCCAAATATTACGTATTTTTATTGTTTTTAGGAGATTCTAATTTGCTGGAAAGGATTATAAAATGTGTAAAAATTTTGAAAATTCTAAAAAGTTGACCCGTTTTTGGTCATTTTTCATTGACCAGAAAGCTAAAATTATCGAAAAATTTTCATGATTTTCAAGCCTCTGCTGTACCACGTTAAATGCTATCTCAAAGTTATGATAAAAATGCTATAAAGCTGGGACACAGATTTGGATATAGGTCGTAGTATTAAATAGCAGAAAAGCAGGACCCTGAACCCCATGAAGAGGTTGATAAATGAGGCAGCAAAAAATACCTCCACCGATCTACGTTTGCGAAATTTTGCCATACTACATTTGAATACCGAGACGGAAACCCTCGAAGCCAGAACCTCCGGCTCTAAAGACTCTCATTTCTCGCAGCGGGCCGCCCAGTGCAGCTTCTCCCGGTGTTCCAGTAAGTTTTTATCAGTTCCAATGGAATTTTCATGCAAATTACTGCATGCAAAACGCGCCTCGTTCCAGGCTCGCCTCAATGTGCTGAACTCCGTGTGGATGCTGCTGCTCATGCTGCTGATGCTCAACCATCGGGCCCTTGAGCTCAGCTGCGCGGTGGAACCACGTCGATGCCACGCCGACGAGCACGCCCATCCTGTTGCCGGACGATTTCAAGGAGATGAAGGAGAGGAGGAGTAAAAGACGAGGCTTCGCTCTCTTTCTCTCTCTCTCTCTCTTTCTCTCTCTTCCTCTCCTCTCTTTATCTTTGGCTCCTCTCCCACTTTCTCTCACTCTCTCTCTTACTCTCTTGCTCTCTCCCTTCACTCTTCATCTCTCCCTCTTTCTCTCCCCTTCTTCTCTCTTTTCTCTCTCTCTCTCTCTCTCTCTCTCTCTCTCTCTCTCTTGGCTCCCGGCACCCACCGTTATCCAATTCTATCGCCGAACGCGTATTATTCAGTCCCGATTTCGACTTCTGGAGTGACGTCGTCTTCAGCCACGGCCCCGGAAGTGCCGCCCAAACAACGAGTGGCCATGATCATCACCGAGGACGACTGGGTCGGCGGAGTACAGCGCAACAGTACCAATTCTGCAAAAGCAGTGTGTCCGTCTCAGGGCTCAGGTCAGCCTCTTCCCCCACACTTTTCAGATGCGTTGACGAAAGGAACACTGTCCACCTGGTGAAGTCTACTGCCACGACGGACGAGAGCGTCACTGCATGCCGCGGAAAGATTTTACAGGAGTAGGGCTTAGTTTGAACCGTTTCGCACCGCTCCCCATTGCGGAGCCGAGCCGACCCGCTACGAGCATGATTTCCCGCTGTGCTTGGATGATGTCTCGGGTGGGTTTGCTAGGGCCTGGTTCCGAGCTTGGGCTTTCAGCCTAAGCTTAGACTTTAGGCTTAGACTTAAGTAGGCTTAGACTTGGGCTTAGGCTTCAGGCGTGGGCTTGGGCTTGGCTTAGGCTTTTGCTTAGGCTCAAGCTTAGTGCCCAGACTTAGGCTTGAGGTGCTAAACCCAGCCGGCTTAAGCTTTAGGTTTTAAGCTCAAGCTTAGGCTTCCTGTTTTGGCTTTGGTTTTGGCTAGGTTTGAGGTTTCAGACTTATGCATGGGCGTAAGCTCAAGCTCAGCTTCTTCCCGCTCTGAAGGCACATACCTGTCACGCAAAGCGCAGGCATTCGGACCACATCCCGTTTTCCAGGCACCTGCTATCCGGACAACGAAGTGTACTGCCGCATCGACAACATTCCAACCTGCCAGGAATCGCGGCGAATATCTGCCGACGGACGCGGGCAACGCCTTCATTTGTTCTAAAAGTATGGTTTATCATTAGCGAGGAGAGGTTTTTGAGCGTGAATTCCTATATCTCATGGGCGATCAAACCTATCATGTCCAAATCTGCCTCGCAATTTGTTTGAATCGGCATTTTCAAGGAGCTGCTCTGATTCTCTATGCCCCCTATAACAAAATACAAGCCTATTTTTACAGATTGTAGATAGTTTCCAAATCGCAATACAACATAAAAAACAATATAAATTTTTGAAACTTCCTCGATTTTAGTAAAACGTATGGAAAATCTCCAAAAAGGACAATTTTATAGAATTATTTTTGCTAACTGTCTAGCAATCAAAGACGCGCTTAAAAACACCGATAAAAATACATCATGTATTAAAACAGGTAGGTCTAGTAGGGTAGACAGACAATAAGTGGTGAGTCTCCTAACAGTCCAGAACCAAAACCTGGAAATCGCATAGTTTAGGTTCCATGAAAAATTCGATGAAAAATGTAATCTATGTCGTAGGATGACAAAAATGAGAAAATGTCTCGGTTCTCTTCTATTTTGCGTTCGGAAAAACTTGTGCGGGGGTGAAAATATGCTTCGCGGAACCTTCCATCTTTTCGCTATTTTGTCGGGATTTTTGCAACGCCATTCGATAGAGCATCAAAAAATATACCTAAGAGTTTTTGTTCTAGCTAAAAATATTGTAATATAAAAAAGTTATAACAAAACAAAAAAACTATTGAAACTGGTTCCGGAATGTTAGTTTACAGCATTTCACAGTTTTTCGATATTTTGAACCCGTCATTCGATAGAGCATCAAAAAAATATACTTAGAGTTTTAATTTCATCTAAAAATATTGTTTTTTATAAAAATAGTTATAGCAAAAACAAGAAGTTTATTCCGGTGTTTCCGCATGGGACCGTGGAGTCGAAAGCTAGTTTTCGACATTTTCGATAACTTTCAAAAACTTCTGTTAATGCCGTTCGATAGAGCGTAAAAAATATACTAAGAGTTTTAATTACAATTCAAAAATAGCATCTGTATAAAAGAGTTATAAAAAACGAAGAAAAATTTCCCCCGCACAGTTTTTCCCACGCGAAATAGGAACAGAACCATGTCCCCCTCGCAGCCGGAGAGCCCGGACTATCCTAACCGCATGCCCGGATAAGCATATTCCAGCAAGGCGACAACGAAAACGGTCCCGCTTACGGCT